AGCTTCTCGCTACCTTCTCTCCTATAAGTGTTCGCTCGCTGCCCAGAAGGATAAAAGCGGTCAATTGAACGCCTTTGATGATAGCCATTTTCGTGTAAACCACATTATTTATATGGTGGAACGGTTCGGTATCACCTCGACACGGAAATCCTTTCTACGAGGGCATTTCCGAGCCAAGTGATCCTCGGATCGACAAATGAAACACTGCCTTTTCTGGTTAACTGCTGTTGAAGCAGTGCTTCTGGAAGGACTTGGTTCCGGTCCCGCTTTTGCTGGAGTCTTGTTATGAGGATACATATCCAAATGTTGCCTGTTGTACAAGGACTTTCTGCTAAGCATTTTATTAGTTCCAAACCTTCCGTGCGCTTCGGAGTCTCGTTTTTCGTTGTCTTTCGTTAGACGTTCCACCCGAATCAACGCATTAAGGAACTGCGGCAAAGTATCAGCAGGATCTTGTGCCATGACTGTACGGGCATAAGCATATGGAAGGCCCTTAATCAGATAGTGCTTGATTAGCTCTTCGGATAACCTTATTTTTCGGCCCAAGGCAACCGTTTCATGGAAATACGATTCCACTGATTGTTCAGGCTTCCGCTTCAATCTGATAAACTTTTTGTGGATCCCAGCCGTGTCAATGACAGTGGAAAATTTTCCATGAACTTCTCTTTGAACATTTCCCAGGTACAACAATGTCCGTGCGAAGTCAGAAGAACTTCATGGAAAAACAGATGAACCACTCCAGAGAATCCGGAGGAAACTTCCGGGACAAGGTGATAGAAATTTCCAGAGTAAGTTGGAAAAGACTTCCAAGTAAAGTCGTAAAACAATTACGGGTGAACTCTGAAACAAATTCCCGTGGAAGTCAGAAGACGCTTCCACAGAGAGTCACAAGGATTTCTGGTGAGTTGAAAGAAAGGAATGATAGAAGAAACTTTCGTGCGAAGTCAGAAGAATCTTTCGTGCGAAGTTAGAAGAAACTTCCGGTAATATCAGATGAAACTTCCGGGGCAAGGCGACAGCAATATCCAAAAGAAGTTGGAAGAGATTTCCAAGTTGAATCGGATAAAAATTCCGGTTGAAATCTGAAAAAAATTCCCGTGGAAGACGGAAGACACTTCCAATGAAAGTCACACGGACTTCTTGTGAGTTGGACGGAAGGAATGTTGGAAGAAACTTTTGTGCGAAGTCAGAAGAAGCTTTCGGGCGATCTAGGAAGAAACTTCCGGGGAAAACAGATTAATCACTCCAGAGAATCCGGAGGAAACTTCCGGGACAAGGCGATAGGAATTTTCAGAGTAAGTTAGAAGAGATCTCCTAGCAGAGTCGTAAAACAATTACGGGTGAACTCTGAAAAAAATTCCCATGGGAGTCGGAAGACACTTCCACAGAGAGTCCCACGGTTTTCTGGTGAGTTGAAATAAAGGAATGATAGAAGAAACTTTCGTGCGAAATCAGAACAAGCTTCCGGGCGACCTAAGAAGAAACTTCCGGTGAAATCAGATGAGCCTCTCCAGAGAAGTCGGAGGGAACATCCAAGGAAAGGCGACAGAAATTTCCAGAAGAAGTTGAAAGAGATTTTCAATTTAAGTAGGAAAAAATTCCGGTTGAACTCTGGAACAAATTCCCGTGGAAGTCGGATGACACTTCCACAGAAAGTCACAAGGGCCTTCGGTGAGTCAGAAGAATGTTCCAGGAGAAGTCAAAAGCTTCCTAGGAATGTTCCAGGTGAACTTTCCGAGGAAATCAGATGAACCTCTCCAGAGAAGCCGGAGGAAGCTTCTGGGGCAAGGCAGCAGAAATTGTAACAGAAGTCTGTAAGTAAAGCCGTAAAAAAAAAATTCCGGGTGAACTCTGAAAAAAATTCCCGTGGAAGTCGGAATACACTTCCAAAGAAAGTCAAATGGACTTCTGATGAGTCGGAAGAAAGTTTCTTGATAAGTCAGAAGAGTCTCCTCCAGATGATATAAGGATGCCTTAGTGTGAAATAGAATACAATTTCCACTTCCACAGGAAGCCAATTGAACTTGTGGGGGTGGAAGATGCTTCTAGAGAAAGATGGAATACTCTTCCAGTGTATGTTGGAAGTAATTACCAGGAGATGAAGGTTTCAAGTCTCATGAGTAACTATCAAATGAATAACTAAGTCAAAATTATATCTGGTCACCGGATAAACATATTTTCCGGTACCCGAAAATTCTCCGAAAATTGTCGGAAAAAGGAATCACTAGTTGGAAGATACTTTCAGGAAAAGTTGAAAGGATTTTTTGGAAAATCTGGGGAAGTCGGAGGAAACTTCCAGGTGAAATGGAAAATAATGTCCGCTACCAGAAGAAGATAGTGGACTTCTGAAGAAAATTCAGGTGATACTGTTGGAACGGAAAGTTTGAAAAAGCTACCGTTGAGCGATGTAAGAAATTTTCGGAGAAGGCTGGAAACAACTTTCGGAACAAGTGGATTTTTTTCCAGGACGAGTTGAAAGAAACTTCCGGAAGATGTTGGAAGAAACTTCCATGCAAAGTCGGACGAAACTTCCGAGAGAAATCATAAGAATCCTTTTGGAAGAAGCTGGTCAAAATCTTCAAGGGAAAGTTTGAAAAATTATATCTAGTCACTGAAAAATAAATAAATTTCCTGATTCCCGGGAATTCCCGGGAAGAGCCATCAGACAGAAATGGCCGAGAAAGGAAACAATAAATATGAACGAATAGTTGAATCGAATGTAACGAGCTGCCGATTTCATTGCATAAGTTTTAGTTTATTAGTATAAACCATTTCTGGACATCTAAAATATGTATATTGTTGAGTGAGATCGGCCTCTGAGAGGGTCGATTTGAAATAAAAGTCTTACTCGGGCCGTTTTAAACCGATTTTTGATCGAAGTACACAATTCAACGCATAATTAGCTTTGGTACAGACGCTCTCAATACATCAAGCGTCCAGCTGGTCATCATTTCTTCAAAATTACTACCCACCACGGCAGGGGTTCTAGCTCCAGAACGACAAAGGCTTGTATAGCCACCAAGGTATATGAAGCATGCATAGATAAAAGCGAGCTTTCCCCGTAGTTGGATAGTACCTAATATGCACATGCAGCTAGCAGATGTTTGGGGAGAGGTAGATGTAAGAGCTTTGAGTCTGTTAACTTTTGAAAATGCTTGCCAGAGAGTCAGACAGGCCATAGTTATAAGGGGGCATAATTTTGATGGAAATCTCCCCACTTGTCATGGGAAGTCCTATGGGCTTTCCCGAGAAGTCCAATGGATATCGCAAGCCGTATGAACTCCTCCGGAAAGTTCCAGTCAGTTTGGTCTATTTTGGCTTGATCCATTCCATTTAGGCTAACCTATACATTTAGATCACTGCTAAAGAATATGATGGTACAGGATTTTTTAAATGCCCATAGGAGATATCGAGCTGAGCCCCTTTCTTCGATAATTCCTTTATATTGTAATATGAAAGCGCACATGGATAATATGGAACCACAAGAAAATCAAAGGTATTGGCTGTATTTGCAGTTTCAGTCGAAGTAAACACTGATAATGGATAGTAGAAGTCTTTCACGTTGTTCATGATGTTCCTATTCATTCAACGTATCTCAAAGATAATTCCATAGAGAAGTTATAATGGACAACTCAGAGTATGTTTGTGTATGTTATCGATTGAAATGAGTGATAAATTATAAGTTATTAAATGAATTTCAATCATATGAAATTCAATTCAAGTCAATTAAATGATAATCGGGATTTAATTCTAGAAAATAATACGTTAATGTTCAAATTTATTTCATTTAAGTTTTGGTTCAAATGAATCGGAAGCATGTTTGTTTTTGTTTATGACCTGGCATAAACGTCATGCTATATCACACCAGCGTAGTTTGAACACCTCCGCCTTATATCGATATCATCTCGCTATATCCCGTGAAATAGTGCGTAATGAGTACGGGGTATTATCTGTATATCGGTATCAAGCTTGAAAATCAAATACCGATAAATCGGTATATCTGGCAACGCTAAATCCAACCAACCCATGTGTACAGGTCTAATGCAATGCATTCCCGCTAAAAAATGGGGAAATATTACATCCGAAATTTGGAAGCCTTTGCATCGATTGCCGAAAACCAAGATTATGAACATTTCGAACCATTCCCCCCATTTGTTTAGTATTGTATCGCCACTCAATAATGCGATGTTTGATAATCATTAACCATGACCAAAACCCAAATACCTTTGTCCTCTTTCCACTCAATCGTACACGCTTAGTTAATAATTGTAAATATTCGAATAAATGTCACCCACCGTTTAATAGCTTTGGAACATGACTCTCACTAATCACCCCCTGAAAGCCGAACGAATCCCTCCCGCTCACGCACAGCCAATTATCGAAAAGTTTACTTCCCCACTTTCACAACTTAGAACTTCGTTTCACCTTTAAACACGAATGCACACATCATACACAACAAAGAAAACACACCTACTTCTAATTAGATGAAAATTACCAGTTTCGGACAAAACTGAGCACGAGAGTGCTACTAAAACTTTTTCCAGCTGACACACGAAACTGTCACGCTAACGTTTTGGCTCCTTATTACCAGTTTTCTGTATCAAGAATTCAATCAATCAACCTCTTCGTACACCTGTCCAGTTCACGGGCTCGAACCTTCACACCCAAACGCCTCTTTCTCTAAAAAAACATACTTCTCTACACGCACACACTGGAAGAAAAAGCACCACCGTTTCCGTTCTGTATAAAGACAATGCGCTGTAAAAAACTGCTAAACTCCTCCTAACAAAAAAAAACAACCCAAACGAACTGCTTTAAATTCAACCAAATCTCAACCAACCAAAACCAAAATCGAAGACGTATCGAACGTAAGCAAAAAGTTAAGAAAAAAAAACGAAAGTCAACCAAAAGAAAAAAAAAACCCAAAACCCTCCAAACCAACCTATCCGTAATCTGATAATATTCACTTATTACATAATCGTAGAGTGTGCGAATTTCAGGAGTATGCTAAACTGCGTAAATAACCTGGAGCCGCAGAGTATGAACTCGGGCATCGAACGTGCCGCGCTGATGATCTCCGAGGAAAAGACCCAGCACGACTCACGTAAGAGACTAGTTCTGTGGTATTCGCTTACCCTGACTGTCCACAGTTGTCACCTACTTGTTTTGATTCTATCACTACTCCAACTACTACTACTACTACCACCTACCTATGTACTGTAAACCTATTGTTCAGAACAAAAGCAGAAAACTAGTACACGTTTTGTTCAGTGTGTGTGCGCGTCTCTCTCGCTATCTTCCATCTATCCTTCTCTAAACATGTTTATTCGGATTAGGCAAATGTACGAACTTTTCGATTTGATGTCTTGCAAAAAAAACACAACCTTCATTATAATGAAATAGTAAAAGTAAGGTTCTAAAGTTCGTGCATCTGTTCATTTCACTTAGATTTCTAGATTTGTCTTCTAAAAGATACTTTATTGTTTTGCAATTCCAAAAGTCTAAGTGTGCGTGAAAATGTAATTATTACTCATGATGTGTGTTTGTACATATATAATTAATCAAATCAATTAACAAAAAAATATGGTATGCTTTATGTTAATGTTGGACGTTGTATATATAAACTGTTTTATTCGTGTGCATTCGATGTTGTCATTACAGCTGCTGTTAAATGTGTTTCGATGTATTGTGGTAAAAATTGGTAATAATTTTGTTATAGATAATAATGCGTAATCAACGACAAACAAGTTGATTACCCAACACGATTTGAGCAACGGTCTGAAGTACAACTGAATGCGATACATTTGATTTCAATGCTTCAAAAAAAAAATAAAAAATATCCCTATATTTACTTGCATCTTTTAATTTCTAATAGTGTTCAGGAAAGAAGTGCTACCATAGACATATAGTTTAAACTAAAAATATCTAATATAATTATGCAAATCACGATAAATCACAAAATACATAAATGAATAGTCGAGTGTTGAAATATCTGCAAATTTCACAAGAAGTGCAGTACAATTTTGATCAACTTCTATAATTAGTTTGATACCAGTTACTCCACTATTATCGAAACTGTCACAGGTTGACACAATCCACGCACTTCTATCAACAATCAATACGAAACTAACGATTTTAACTGCAGCAGGAGCTTGTGTTTTGTTTAGGAATAGGAATTTGAGCTGGGTTCTCTCTGTTTATACGCTTTAGTATGACGCGCTTGATATAGATGGCCTACAGCGACTCACGAAGAGCTACTGATTCCGATCAATAGCGGTGAGGCTTATTCCTCCTTCTATGGATGCTGATGTGGGCTGCAGCTCGCTGCTTGCAGGCATCACTCACCACGCGGTGGTTGAATAAACATCGTTTGGTGAGACCGGATGGAATTCAGCTTTGAAATCTGTGTTAGGGAAATCGCTTTTCGCAGGAAATCGGTGATAATTTTAATTATCATAGCAACAGTTGCACATTCGTGCAATTTTCAATAGTCACATTTTGAAAATTAAAAAGTGTTAATTTTAACAGATTCGTAGAAAAAATTCCTATCGATTGGCGTATTAAGAATTAAAATTCATCATCTCTGGATCAAAATCAGACCACTTTCATGCCGCGATCGACTTTGGTTTTTGAAATTGCACCCCCAATGTTGCCTTCAAGAACATGGCATGTTAGATTTAAACATATCTAGATAGAGCTGGAATTAGGCGTAACAGCTTTTATAAACAATGAATTCTCTCGATGATTTTGAGGAATTCAAGGCACGCCCACGCAAAACAACATTACCGTCGGGTAGGGGAAGTCTTACCCTACCTGTAGGTGATGTTTATTTGCGTGGGTGAGCCTTGACTTTCAAGACATCATCGAAAGAAGTCATTGTTTACAAAAGTTGTTACGCCATAATTCCAGCTCTATGGGAACTGACATAGATGATTGATGACCTTGACAAATGTCCAAAAAATACTCTTTTACAAATTGATGATGGTCCTGAAAAGGGTCGTATTGTCGTGATGGTTGAGTGATACTGAGCTATTAGGGTGTTAAACACAGATGAGCCTGGTGATCTGTGACGGAATGATGGTGACGCGCTTGGCATAGATGACCCACAGCGACTCACGAAGAGCTACTGATTCCGATCAATAGCGGTGCGGCTTCTTCCGCATTCTATGGATGCTCATGTGGGCTGCAGCTCGCTGCTTGCAGGCAGGCTTCCGTTATGTACTGGAAAACAATGTTCAACGCCATGCGCCGAAAGCACTGCTGCTCCTAATGCCGATGACCGGACACCACCACACACGGTGATTGGAACTGAATCCGATCTGCGGTAGAGGGCAACCTTGATAGGTAGCTGCTTGCGGGGAGCCTTTCGTTGTGTACTGGAGAACACCACCACTCACCATGCGGTGATTGAATAAACACCGTTTGGTGAGACCGGATTGAATTCACCTTAGAAATCTGTGTTAGGGAAATCGCTTTTCGCAGGCAATCTGTGATAATCTTAATTATCATAGCAAAAGTTGCACATTCGTGCAATTTTCAAAAGTGACATTTCGAAAAATGATAAAGTCTTAATTTTTTAAAGATTTGTAAGAATATTTCGGATCGATTGGTGATAAAATTGTTGAAATTGGTTCAGGGGCAGCTGAGTTATAAACGTTCAAAAACTTTCATAATTTTGTTACATGTCCCATTTTCGATTTTCACAAAGTGTACCTCCATATAGAAATCACAGACGTAGTCCTACGTCAAAAGTAAAGCCATGCTACCAACCGGTGGAAACTAACGATTTTAAATTGGCTCAGTACTTTACTAGCCTATCGGTCCCAAGCAAATCGATTAACGTACCCCATTCTAGTCGAATTTCTAGTACTACACTATGTTTGTATTGATTCACTATGAAAGTTTGACAGATACAATGAGGGGTTCGTGGATTTTCCTATGTTTCAAGGGGTGCATCGATTAGCTTGAGACCAAAGTGAGTACCAGAGCTGAGCCAACAAGTTGAGTACGTTTCTTCGGGACCTTCTGGTCTTAGAGTTACCCCTATGATGCTACCATGCAGTCATGGCCATTAAACATGTTAAAAGCTTTTTTAATACCATTTCGGTTTAGCTCAAATGATTACGGTTATTGAAGAACGGTTAAAAATATTTTATTTAAGCTATGCAAAATTAACATCCCAAGTAGCAATTGGGGTTTTATGAGTGTTCTGCAGAGTGTGATTTAGACTTGTAGCATGCTTTAAAACCGTGATAAAGCTCGCAATGTTACTTGGGATGCAAAAACGAAAAGAAAAACTGGTAGCTCGCATCTGGAGAATATTTCCCCCACTACGCATTTAATGCAACTATGTTTCCCGTTAAAGTTTTTAATGCTTTTTATATATGCCCGAGCAGGTGTGTCGAATATAATTGCTCGAATTTTCAATGAAATCCGGTGGTTATTTATGAGTACTCCAGAATCCAAAAGTAGCAGTAGTTGTTGTATCATCCTAGACAAAATCATCGCAAATTAATACATTTCTCGCGTCACTTTTCAAATAGACCAATGTAACATATCCACCATTTTATTTATGTATTTAATCTTCGATATATAAAAAAAAAACATCGTACAGACAAAAATAACTTATCTACTAATTCTAAGCTTAAACACAGTTTTAGTCATACCAAAATCAAACATATTGGAAACCTCGTTGAAACGATTACAGCAGACATCCAGAGGGTTGTTCATTCCATAGTCAGTACGGTGATTCGATCGGCGGAAGAACTCCGGTTGCCGCGTCACCCGAAACGGTGTGTTAAAGCGGAGTTTCTCAAGTATGTCTGCACAGTCGATATGGTCTGTCAGGACATCAAAGATGAGCATGCGTTGAAGGAATACTCGTCTGCTTGATAGTGTTGGTAGATCAATCAACATGCAACGGCTTTCATATGATGGCAGGTTCGTTCTATCTCTCCAGTGAAGGCCTCGAAGAGCATATCGAACAAAGTTCTTTTGAATTCGTTCAATCCGATTGATGTGAACTGCATGGTACGGGGCCCAGACTTGCACCCCATATTCTAAAACACTGCGTACAAGTGAGCAATACAGCGTCTTTAGACTGTACACATCTTCAAAGAATTTCGTGTTACGCTTCAAAAATCCCAGCAGAGAATACGCTTTGGCTGTTACTGAAGCGATGTGTTCGACAAACCTTAGTTTGCTGTCAACGAGAATCCCCAAATCCTTAACGGTGCTCGTACGTTTCAAGCAACAAGTTTCCATTCTGTACTCGAAAGCAATCGGTGTACGTGAACGACTGAATGTAATCACGCAACATTTCTTGATATTGGCCTCCATTCCATTCAAACTGCACCATTCCAGAAGTCCGTCGATATCCGTTTGAAGCGCACAGCAGTCTACCAGCGACGTGATTACTCGGTAAAACTTGAGGTCGTCAGCATACAAGGATTTTGGAGATTTTATCTTCATGCAGAGGTCTTTAATGAACAAAACAAACAGCAAAGGTCCCAAGATACTGTCTTGAGGCACTCCGGAATGAACCTGGAATGGAACAGAGTAGGACTCACCGACTTTCACCGAAGAACTGCGCCCTGTGAGATAAGACAGAATCCATTGTGTCAGCCACTCAGGAAGTCCTATCCTTTTGAACTTTTCAACTGCAAGGATGTGTGGCACCTTATCAAAAGCTTTGGCAAAGTCCACGTATACAGCGTCGACTTGCTGTCGTTTTTCCATCCTATTCACAAGAGTCGATACATAGCTTAGCAGGTTCGTTGTGGTCGAGCGCTTTTTCATGAAACCGTGTTGTTCAGTAGAGATAATACATTTGGTAGACTGGTACAGCACATCATGCACCAAGCTTTCGAAGATCTTCGGCAGACAGCTGAGAATGGAGATCCCACGATAATTCTCTACATCGTTGAGCGAACCAGATTTATGAATTGGTGTGATTGAAGCAGATTTCCAAATCGTAGGAAAGCACTTCTCGTTAAGTGAACGGTTGAACAAAATGCTTGCAGGTAACGCTAGAGAATTCGCACAATGTTTAACGACAAATGGAGGCAATTGGTCAGGCCCAGCGCCTTTTGAACCGTCGATTGATTGCAACTTGAGCAGTACATCGTTTGGTAAAAAATTCATCCGTGGCACGTTTACATCATACTGCGGAATACTGTCCAGGTACGTTACAGACAAAGGTGGTGAGTTATTACTTGACACACTTTGAAAGTAAGACGAGAACATATTCGCTGATTCCTGCTGCGTAGTGGTAGTCATTCCTTGGTAGCGCATGTTCTGAGGAATCCCTTTCGTCGATTTTCGTTAACGTAATTCCAGAATGATTTCGGGTCCGCTTTCACGTTGTCCTCGATGCGATGAATGTAGTCGCGAAAACATCTTGCGTTTAAAGAGTTGTATTGAGCCTCTGTATCACGCATTTCAGTTTTTCGTGACTCACTTCTGCGTTTAAAGTATCGTTTCCTAGATTTACGAAGACGATTCCGAAGGTGCCGAAGGTCCGCGTTCCACCATGGCTGGTTTTTGTGAAGTTTCCGTCTACGTTTTCTCATCGGTACACTAGTTCGGATGATTCCAAAAAGCTCACCGTAAAAACGAACAGCTGCTTCGTCCACTGAATCTGTTCTTAATAATTGTTCCCAGTCAACTTGTTGAATTTTCCCATTCAACACAGTGAAGTCAAAGCGATGAAAATCAAAGCATTCAGACTCCTCTTCGACAAAATTGTTCTCAACAACCAGTTTTAAAACGATCGGTTTGTGATGTCTGTCCACTTGCAACAGCGGTAAGGGTGGTTCAAACATATCTGCACAAGCTGAACTGTTGGTAAAAACCAAGTCGAGTAGCCTATCGTTGTCATTAACGAAATGCAGTCCTGTAGGCAACATAGATTCAACCAATGCTAATTCAGACTCCGTGGACGCATTTATCGGCAAGAAGCAGTTCATGTCCTCGTCATATTGCCAGCATAAGCCTGGCAGATTGTAATCACCCAACACAATCATCTTATCACATGCTCTAGCAAGCGATGTCAGTTGCTGAACACAAGTGGAGTGTGTTTCGTAAAGCGCAGGGTCAGAATTAGGAGGCAGGTATACTGTACAGAGAAAAATCTTTTCGTCCTTCAACTCAATGCAAACAGCTGTTTGTTCCAGTATAGCGTCTTCCGAGAAAGTAACAGATGTGCTCATCAGCCCGGTTTTGACACCTATCAATACACCAATCAGAGAAAATCGAAGTTGAAGTTCGACAGATTACTGTTTAAAAACAATACATTTTGCAATACTATTTTTAATGTAGTCAGTGTATAATAACGTTGAAAATTCGGAAGAAACAGTAAAATCACAATTTTACTTTGAATTTCATGCTACAACATAGAAAAAACCACATAGGACGTTTTGACAAGTCGAGTTGTACATCGGACATGTTACATTGGACGATTCCTCTCAATGACATATTCAATGAGTGTTACATTGGACGTTTTGTCTACATGATACTAGATTCCCTTTCACAGATTTCAGAGTATAGTACCTAACTTTAGATTGGCCCTGCCTTTGGAAAATGAGCACCAATCATGTTAGGCAGTCCGAATGACCGAAGTAACAATCATGTACCCATCATTTCAAATTCTACATTGGACAACTTTTGATCAATGATTATTTTAAATAAATGAAAGTAAATTTGGATGGATGTTTTTGTATCACATACAATGATAGAAGAGCAATAGTTTGTATCGCTTAGTTCGATTTTGTTTACAATTGTTACATTGGTCTTTTTTTTTTTTTTTTTCTTTATTAACGAGACTTTTAGCCTTAGGCTGGTTCATCTCTAATATGTTACATTGGTATTTATATACGAAAATCCTTATACGATTAAAAATTTGCTGAGAATACAGAGGATAGTTCCAAGCAATATACAAAACTCCACAGCTCCAAGTAAATTATGACAAGAGTTCCAAAGCAATGCCAAAGAAATCTGAATCTAATGGTGATTCGAATCCAAAGGAAACCTAAGAATAATTTAATATGTTTGCAAGCGTCACGGAGAGGTAATTAAGCAATAGTTTTGAGTTGAACTATATTGAAGATCATGATAGGATAGTTTCGTCGAAGATTTGACGAGAATTCATCGGAAAATCGTGTAAAAGCATCAAAGCCAGTAAAAAGAAGATTCTTTTTTTCTCCGTTCGGGACATAACACCACTGAGCGGCGCCGGTGGTGTAGTGGTAAGCGTGATTACCTCTCACCCCAGAAGGCCTGGGTTCAATCCCAGTCGGCGCCGCCGGGATGTTCTGAGGCATAACATCTCTGATCACGCCTTCCTTCGGAAGGGAAGTAAAGCCGTTGGTCCCCGGTTCATGAGTTGATGGATCGATAGGTAGGATCCAGGCGTGGTAGCTGCCTCCCTGGCGTCGGTAGCATTGGTCCTCAGCACGGAAAACAAGATCGACGCAATCAAGGAAAAAAAAAAAAAAAAAAAAAAAACATAACACCACTGCGACCAGTAATTTGATCTATTGTAGTATATCCCATGTCCTTAGTTTAGTGCATGTCGTATTACTTCATCACTATTGAGAAATGATGAAGTATTCGGTTTTATACAGTTGTCATTCTTGCCTTCATCGCAAGGAATCGATTCTAATTGAAAGGTCCCGCTATTTATACCCATTCGGAGTGTTGAAACACCCTCCAAAGGCGCGCCCCTTTGTCAGTCAAAAGTCCTTAGCAACAAAAATAAGCAATGACACCGATAATGACCATATGCATCAGAACCCTAGTCTTAACCACTTTAAACTATGGAACAATGAATAGAAGATTAGGAATCACATAGATGAAGACTAACTAACTCGTTTTTTCCTTGTTTCAAGATCATCCTCGGTGGACAAAGCCGAGTCTTGTCACTATCAACAAGGCATAAAAACAAGGATTAAGATGTATTCCTTGGATTACTGAAAAATCCTGTTCCCCTAGTTTGAAGTAGTCAGGACTACGAATCGGTGGTAGATCTTACATCCCGTAACGTACCACGAAAAGGTGATCTACCCACGTTACGGGGCAAGAAGAAGATTAAATTATTCAACATACTTCAAGAGCTCTTCATAGGGAATTCTGTTAGGAGGCTCGATATAATCAAAAATATTTCTAATACAGATAGACAAAACATTAAAAGTGCTAACAACATTCAAGAAGGCACTCAGCTGGTAAATAGCTTTCCTGTGAAATTATAGTGTATCTGATAGATTTGTGTTTTTTGCAGAAAATCAAAAACATATAAAAAGGATAATATTTCAACGCCATTATTGACCGTCTCTGTGAATGGTAGCATTTCTTTCTGTTAACAAATTTACCGTAGATTAGTCAAATGCAGCATGCTTCTTGCTTCAACAGTACAAAACTACGACACATCATACCCACACTAAATGTACACTTATAATCACTAGAAGCCAATCATTCCAGCTTCATCAACTGAAATCAACTGTAAGCCAATATGCTAACCGATAAAAAAAAACCAAATCTCACCAGCTTATCACACATCAACCGAAAGCGCCTCTGAACGCGTGCCGCCACCACCTAAGTAACCATTTTCATTAAGCGACCGCTTAACATTAAATCCACTCTGGCTCGTCCTCATCAATCGCTGCCTCCCATCAGAAAGCGAGCAAAGCGAATCACACCCTCCTCCTCCTCCTCCGTCAATCCGCCAACACTGACCGTCATAGTGAACCATATCGTGCTCTGGGGTGGAGAGGGCACGCCATCCTGCGACCATTTCCCTGTTCATGATGGTGTAGTTCTCATTAAATTTAACGCTTATTATATCGTCCCATCCTGGGCGGAGTCGTCCGTGGATGTCTGCTGCCATTTCTTCCGGTTGACCCCACCGGGGTGTGTGTACTCTCTGAACTGTCATCACCCTGACTGACAGAACGAACTGCTGCGGCCTGTCGTGGCCCGGACATAATGTCAGTCAGGTTTTGCGAGGTCCCGCGCGTCTCGGTTCACCGAAAGAAAAGAAAAATGTGGAACATCGCTGGAAGTAAGCATAATTCTCACGTTTCACCCCTGCCTTATGCTGGACGCCCACTTGCACAGCAACTCAAACGTATCAATTTCATTTCATTTCCTTTCGTCCTCATTCATGGCCGCGGCTATACACGGAGATAGCGCAATCATTTCTTGCCCTTTGGCTATCACCAGTTCCGGTTTTATCTTAATTGTTTCGTCTTTGGGTTTCTACTTTTACGAGCGGATTTTTCCACATTACCCTCCCTCGTTCCCTTCGTCGTAATCGTTGCTGCTGCTAGCTGGGAAAAAGGAAAACTGCAGCAGCTCTGTAACATCACGGCCGCCGACGACGACGATGACAAGAAGATTGGCCATGACCAGAACACGTAAAAAGCGTGCGTATCTCGTTTCGAACTAGGTATGGTCTGTGGTAGGGGAAGAGCCACTCTGCAATTGGAGGATAAAATTCTAAACACGTACACCGACCATGTTACATGGCTTTTGCAAATGAGCCCGCACTGATGAAGATGACAGGGGGAAAATGGGGATCAGCTTATCAAAAAGTAGCACTGTAGGAAGAAGGAAATATGCGATGATCATGGGATTAGGGTGGGCAAATTTAACATATTGTGATGCTACGGGAATCTCCCTCTTCTCGCCAATCGTTTATTCGAAAATTAACATCTCATGCATTCAAAATTCAGCACCATGAACCAGAGATGATGAACTTCACGATTGTTTGACTTCTTTTGCAGGCGACCATATAGTTATCCCTGCCCTTCCAGCTCTACAAATTTTGTGGAATTGTTTGGTAAGATACAGTATTTATCTACCAATTTCATGAACTACACTCTTAGAAATTACTACTTTTACACGAGACGTAATTCAGCTTTGACGTAAATCATGGAACGTAAACAAACATGGCATGTAAAATTAAGTGTCCTGAAACTGAAACATATGCAACTCGACGAAAAGTGCGTTTGATTGAACTGATTTTCTCGTCCTATTTAACTGATTCTTATGTCAAAAGGGCCGCTTGCATGTGTCGGTCTCAGGGAACTGAAATTTACATGCCTTTTTCGTAGTATGTACATTTCCACGGCTCAGCAATGCGATGAGTCAGGATGGATGCTACCCAAAACGGTCAGTTACTGCAAGTTTGACCGCATTCGGATCATGGATTCTGGCGGAAAAGTCAATCTCAAGGCTACATTTATCGGCGCCGGTGGTGTAGCGGTAAGCATTATTGCCTCTCAACCCAAAGGGCCTGGGTTCAATCCCAGTCGGCGCTGCCAGGATTATCTGAGGCATAAAACCTCTAATCACGCCTTCGGAAGGGAAGTAAAGCCGTTGGTCCCCGGTCCATGAGTTGATGGGTCGATCGGTAGGGTCCAGGTGTGGGAGTTGCCTGCCTGCCGTCGGTAGCATTGGTATGCAGTACGGAAAACAAGATCGACATCAATATAGGTCAAGAAATTACGTAACTTATGATTTACGTGGAAATGTTTAGGTACGCAAAGGTTAACAAGGCAGTAACATTGATTTTAAAGAAATTATTGAAAAAAAAATGTGTTTATTCCGCTTTCCCGGCAGTTCTTTGACATCATACCAATTCATAAAATACATTGTTATCAGGGCCCAATAAAGTCACTTTCAATCGAAAATCGTCAAGCGACCACGAAGCTGTTTACCATCACTTTCAATCGAAAGTCATTCTGTCTTCTCTTCGAGCAGATCCCCTTCAACATCAACAAAACCACTTTTGATGCTGTTTGTTTTGGCTTGACTCGTGCTCATTGCATCTTTCATTGTCAAATGAACCTACTTTCGCATTGAAGCGAAGCTGTTCGTTCCAAATTCGCGCATTTTTTTTCTGACTCTTGTTGATTGTTCACTTTGTTCATTTAAGCGCATGCGCATAGATCTGTGCACGTGGATGTCAAGGCTATTATTATCGGGTGGTTTGTTTACCCATCAATTTGGGTATTTGTGGAATCGGGGTGACGTGTAAAGATCGAAAATCGATATGCGTCGCTATTTTAAAAACCAAGATGGCGGCTTCAGATTTCAGATAAAGTGGGAAATAATGTCAAATGCCCATCAAAATGGGTATTCGGCATGACGTCTACAGCCCGGAAATCAATAACCGATAATTTTGAAAACAAGATGGCGGCTTCGGATTTCAGAAAAAAAATTAGAAATACTGATGCCGACCCATCAATACGGGTATTTTTGGAACCGGGATGATGTCTATAGAATGAAAATCGACATCCGACGCCATGGCTTCTTCAGATTTCAGAAAAAGTGTGAAATACTGTCAAATACCCATCAATACTGGTTTTTCTTTAGATCGGCATGTCGGCATCGTCCGAAAATCGATATCCAACGCCATTTTTAAATACAAGATGGTGGCTTCTGATTTCATAATAGTGGAAAATATTGCCAAATACCCATCAATATAGGTAATTGTTGAATCGGGGTGACGTTTGGAGGCCGTAAATCGACATCCGACGAAATTTTGAAATCCATGATGGCGGCTTCCAGTTTCAGAAAAAGTGGAAAGTGACGAACCAGCCAGTGGCTGAAAGTCACTCTAATAAAGAAAAAAAAAGTGGAAAATACTGTCAAATACCCATCAATTTGGGAATTTTTGGAATCGGGCTGACGTCTAGATTTTGAAAATCCTAAATACATACGGTTTTTTTTTTCAGAATCGCATAGTGGTGTAAGAGCTATTATGCTGACTGTATCCACCTTTATTCAGCAGTGTTGTAAAGCAATGCAATGTTTTTAAATCAATTTAAAACAGTCGAATTAAAGTGTCAATGTACGTACAAATTACACTTATTCAGTTTGTTATTAGATCAAACTTCAGGCGTTGAATTGGGAAGATAGTCAACGTTTATACAGCTTTTAATAAAAAAATTAATCTTAGCAAGTGGAATAAATGTGCATCTATCGATCTCTATGAGGTTTTTTCAGCACATAATTCGACTACTCGTTTTATTCAGCATTGTACACTGTAATACAGCATTTATTCAATATATATGCTTATTTGTGACTCTGAATTGTTTGTTGGGTATACTCTTCCAGCATCTTCTAAAGACACACGAATCGCAATGGACGTTGATTTGGTACTAAATGCTGCTGCAAATGAGTCAAGGACGATGTTCGATTTTGTGATCATTTGTCCCCTGCTGGGACTTTTCAGTAGATAATAATAATAAAAGAGTTTTCAAAAAAGGTGTTCTCGCATGATATTTACCCAACTAACATTTTCAGCTTTGTAAGCCAACTTTTCCTGCGTTGTGCTGTAAAGTAGCTGAAAAGAAGCTGCAGATACAGCTACAAGCAAAAGCTAGCAAAATAGTTTTGGAGAGCGTTTACTCAACTTTCTCACAACCATTATTCAATTTGTCAGTCGCACTGAATAACATCAGCCAATAAATGCTAATGTCACTTCTATACACACACTAATCAACTTTCAACTTGTAGCTGCAAAACAAAGCTAACAAAGTGAATATATTACTCATTTGATGGTTTCTAAACAACCAACCACTCTTGCTGAATAACATAAACATCAAAAGTGCTTCTTCAACAACTAAACAACCTGTACTCAGCTTATAAACTGTGTTAGAGCAACTTCGGAAGCATTTTCACAGTCAACTAGGCTTATTTTTAGACCTGTGCAGTTTTACAGCTTTTACTCTGCTCTTTTATAACTAGTCGAGAAAAGTGATTCGTGTGCACTATTATAAAGCCTCTACTCAGCGATTTTGTTGTAGAAGGGAATGTTGATTTGTTTACACAAGTTCAAAGTGTTGGCGTAGCCCAGTTGGTAGTGTCAAGGTTTGCCAATGAGGTCGTCTCGAGTTCGATTCCAGGTTCCGGTGCAGGGTAAATAATTTGGTGATGATTTGTAGCTAATTTCGATTAATTTGATTCACAGCAAAATAAACTCAATAAATTCCTTCATAAAAAAGCGTAAACAGTATTTAACCCGGCTTCAAGAGAAAGCTGTGTAGTGATTATTGGATAACCGGGAAAAGGTTGAATAAGCGCCTTTCAAGTTCACACACAACTAAACAGCAGGATAACAGCTGTATAGAAGCGTTAATGGATATGCAATAAGAGCTTCTCCCGACCGTTCTAACAGCCATAAGTAGCTGACTAAGTTCGCCAGATTTGCTTGTATAGAGGTTGAGTAAAGGGTTCCTCATATCGTATAACGTTTGAATACAGCTTGAGGCTGTATAAATGAAATGAGTAAAGCGTTTACATTGTGAAAATTGTTAGTTGGGTAATTGGTCACGTTTTGCATTTGCTTATCATATGACATCATTCATTATATAGCGGAAAATACAGGGGATTGGGAGGGACCAATCGAAGCGATTTGGATGGGGAGAGTGAAATTGTCAACTCCCTGTTGTTAACATCTCGTGAAAAAATGGCGGACTCTTCTCCACACTCATTGGGGTATCCTTCTGTTGGACCAATTGTATGATTAGGTGGCTGGAAGGATAGAGAATCTCCATGGAGACATATAGGTGAATTTTCCGATCGATCCACCAAAACCGTTTTTGGCCCTTCAATTTAAACAGGTCTTTGCTTCAAATAAAATGAACTGATGCACTTGACGAACGAAACAAGCGATAGTAAAGTCATGTTTGACAGGAGGAATGTTCATCGTTACTCGATAACGGGAAACACAATCACTTACACGAAAATGATTTTGCTCGAAATGAAGCGATTCTGCGGAGAGTTCATTTTCTTTTCTTTGTTTCGAAAATGCAGAACCCTGATGCTAGTCAACAGCGTGAAGATAACGCAGTAGGCAAGTATTCTATCGAATAACAATTTGTTATATGATGGCCTACTCGCCTACTGCGTTATCTTCACGCTGATCACTTGCATATACCAAAAATAAATCAGCTATAAAATGAACTTGAATTACACGAAATAGATCAAAAGCTCCAATTAGTTCCGACTTTAAATTTTGTCTATATATATCCAGTATTGAATGATATATACATTTTTTTTTGCTTGATTGGTTTTCCGTCGATCTTGTTTTCCGTGCTGAGCATCAATTCTACCGACGCCAGGGAGGCAGCTCCCACACCTGGACCCTACCTATCGACCCATCAAATCATGACCGGGGACCAACGGCTTTACTTCCCTTCCGAAGGAAGGCGTGATCAGAAATGTTATACCTCAGAACATCCCGGGGGCGCCGACTGGGATTGAACCCTGGCCTGCTGGGGTGAGAGGTTATCACGCTTACCAATACATCAACGGTGCCGCTATTGAATGATATTAGCCCTGAAAATTCTAGGGTGCTATTTTGTGCGGCTACGTAGGTATGAGTTTTGAGAGTTATGTCAAATTTAATGATCTTTGTTCATTGGCAAAGTTTCAAGTTTTGTTGGAATACGTCAGTAGAAAATAAACTTTAGAATATAAAAAAACATAGTTAAGTGTAAAAAACTAAGTCGACGGCACCAAACCTCAAAAAAATATTTCTGAAGACATAAAATCACTAAAATGACCCGTTTTGGAGTTATTAATTTTATTCCGCTAAATTGCATTCCTGGACCACTGTGGCATAGCCATGGTGTTTCAATGCGTTAAGACGAAAAAGAATTCGTAGCCGGCATTTGGAATCAAGAAGTAGTGTTAGATTTTTTAAAATATTTCACAAATGTGTGTCTCTTCATGAAATTTGGAAATCATCTTTAATAGAATCATTCCATTCTGTGAAAAAAAAATCCAGTCGAAAAAGAAAGGTATTGTATGTGTTGTGCTTAGTAGGCCCAAAATTAGATCTAAACCCTAGAATTGGTAGTCTAATTTGTTTTGTATATGTATCTAACTTTTATGCTGAGAGGGGAACGATGGTGCGCAATTTTCGAAAAGCGCTAAACAAGGTTGAAAACCACTGTTCTAATAAATGATCAACAAAAACGAAATAGTTCTACAACGAAGGTATCATTTGCCTACCCTATCGAACCATGATCTTTCAGGTGGCAAACAAGAGTCACTTCCTAGTCTAAGTCATATGAATCCCGTTATCATGCACCAGCCATTACAACCATTTTCATCCCCCATAAAAAAAAAAACATCTACAGGAAAAACGGTTCCATGAAAAACGGTCTCTCCTATCGCCTGAGGCCACTTTGGCCCAGCCCGAAATCTGCATTGCATCATCAGCAAAACTTTAAACCTCACATATTTGCTTCTCATCCTCGCTCCCCCTCCTGATGACACCCATCTAGCCCGGGTGCCAAAAGAGCCATCCTGCAATACACATGTGTTTTCATAGCTCCAGTAGTGACACACTTTGAATACCTAAATAGTCCTCACATTTTTGCCACGCTCCGCAAACCTCTACTATTTGAGTGGTAAAGCGTACTGTCATCCTAGAAACAACAACAACAACAAAAAGCCAGCAAATATCAACCTCACTAGTTTTTATCAGTAGACACTATGCGCCAAATAGTTTAAGCACTTCAAACTTTTCATTATTTTGTGATTCTGGTATTCAGTATTATTTTCCTGTGACAAACCACACTCTGTAAGATATCTTCTATGCTGTAGGAGTGAAACGCGTTCGTTCGCTTGTGCACTGAGCGACCAACCGAAAGTGTCTCAAGCGTGTTGTAGATCCATACTAAAAACCGATATAAAAATCATTGTGCCAGTTGCACAAAAGTTGAAATGACCAACCACCCAACAAGCTTTTGTACAGAGGTTAAAAATAAAATACCCAACTGTCCCGCAAAACTGCCTCAGCACCAGTCCCGAGTTCAGAAGCAGTGCACACACAGTTCACAGGACAAGCCCACGTGCGCTCTGTATCAAACACGACTTCGTTTCGGTTTGCTAACTGATGCCGCTCTGCCGCTAACCATGTACCTATATCTACTAAAGTGCAGACCGCGCTCGCTATCAGTAGTCAAGTATTGTGTTCGTTCTTCACTAAAACAACTAGAAGTGTGTGTGTGACCGCAAATAATAACTACACCTTCACCTGCGTGTTTGTTGCATATTCTCTACGGAGCCAAGCAAATCCAATCCAATCGCATACCTTTCCATCCAAAGTGTTCGGAACGACGGGAACGCTGGACGGTGAGATGGGTCCCTATCCGGTAGGAACATCCGGTACGCTGGACGGCGAGATGGGTCCGTATCCGGTGGGAGATGGAAACCTCCTGGGGCCGTCGTCCAGAGTGTTCGGAACGACGGGTACGCTGGACGGAGAAATGGGTCCCTACCCGGTGGGCGACAGTACCACGCTGCTCGGCACGCAGTACTTCGGTACGACGGCACTGACCGGGTACGGTACCGAAGCCCTGACAATCGGTTCCGGCCGGCTCAACTACGGATCGACGGGACCAACCGTTAGTACAACTTGCTCACCGATGCCAAAGAGACGAACGCCCGGCGTTAGCCGGAGGGCTCCCGCGGGTGGTGGCGGCCGCGGGGGCCACAACGACGAAGGTGGAGGATGTTCCGCCGGCAGTGGGGTAGCCGTTCGGGACAGCTTCCGCCGACATTCGGCCCACGGACGGATAGTGAGCTCAGGTATATGACTTTTTTGATTGATTTTTGGTATACCCATATGAACGGGAAGTGAGGTGAATGGAAGTAGAAACAAGTTACCCTATATCACAGTGGTCGACATTCGTGTAAATGCACTTTCGAGGAGATCTTGAATTATTGTTACTAGCCGAAATAAATTTTGTTTCCAAAGTACTCTTGCGCTACAAATGAAACCCTCAGAAACTTTTTCACTCAGTAAACTATAAAAAATGACTATTTTAGCAGGCGAAATAGCAGAATAAAACATTAATTTTTAACTCGGCCTTCGCCGATTTGCATGAATCTTTACATAATTGCTTGTTAAGGGTAATCATTTGTGCTAAACCATGATTTTTTTTTCAAAGTGGCGTTTTCGAAATTTTTCAATAAATCGTAGCACGGAAACGTCACTTCTATCAAAGACATCAAATCAAGAAGACTGGCAACTCTGCCGAATCCAAGTGACATATACAGTAGCGCTGCGGTCGAGCGAAGGTGGAAAAACTACAATGAGCAAATACACAAACCTTTCTTCTGAGGTTGTAATATTTGCTATCAAAATCGTTCGAAGCATTTACCTTTGCGCGGCAGATGACGCTAGTGTGTCGGTCTCATAGAGGTCGTATGAGAAAATGGAAAAGTTGCCAGTCTTCTTGATATGTTGTCTTCGCTTCTAATCAAATAGACGTCTGAGAAAAAGTTGTGGGGAAAAATAAAGTCTTTCTCCAAAAATTTAATAAAAGTTGTTGATTAACGATTTTTGTCAATTTTCAATTTCCAAGGCTTTACTATTTCAAAAATTTGTATTTTTTTAAGTTTTTATTTCCAAAAATTTAAAAATATTACACAAAGTAATTTATTGTTCAATAAGTTCTTAACACTTTTTTGGAATATTTTTCTCAAAATTATTGAAAAAAAATATTACCACTTGGAAATAATTTATTTTTCTCTTGAACTTTGTCTCAGACGTCATTTCTATTAAAACTGACGTTTACGTGCTATGATTTATTCAAAAATGTCAAAAACACCATTATGAAAAAAAAAATCATGTTTAACAGTGGCCGAATTTTGTAAAAAAAAATATACCAAACAATTATGCAAAGTTTCATGCATATCGGAGAAGGTCGAGTCTGATCGATTCACCATTTGGCGCTATTTGGAACTGTTAATTTTGAATGTATTATATTGAAACCTCCATTTACGAAGGAGCAAATCTTCCTACAATCATTTCTTATGAATGCAAGAAGCTTGAACCTGGGAGCTAGATTTTCACACACGATAAGCCCCGCTACAATACAGCATCGATGTTTATAGACTCCATAGATAATATACTGAAACTTTCAATCAAGCAGTAGTGCAAAACTTGATTGACGCGTATTTAGGAAGATTTAAAATGATTGTCTTAATTTAGATGGATAAAACCTATAGAGAAAAAAAGGCAACAAACGAAACCTGATGCAACGAAAAGGGAGGGGTTTGATAACCATAACTTAATGCACTTTTCAACACCACTTCAGTACTTTTAATTCAAACTTTTTAAAACCAAAATTGTAAATGTTTAACTTTTTTCACAAGAACGAAAACCACGCAGCAAAGCGGCCTACTTCGATCCGGTTAGAGAAAACTAGTAAATACTCAGAGTCGGTTAGAAATGCTATCTAACCTGATGCTTTAGTGTGATAATTTATTGGCTAGAGAAAGGTCTGAAGAGGGCAGGTAGATAGTTCCACTAGAGTACGGCAGTATGAAAATTTAATAGAAGTTGAAAATGAGCAATGCGGGTGGTACTAGTCAAACGCACACTTCTTTACCTTACGCATACATGAATGGATGAGGGGACTTGAAGTATTTGAAGGTTGCAAAGACTCATTTCAGCTAAAATAATGTTTTTCGGAATAATAAAACCAAAAGATGGTATGATGGCATGTTTTACTTGTAACTTACAAGAAGAGGTTACAAAGTATGCGTTAGAAACATAAAACTTGTAAATTTTGCTTTCTATGAGTCACAATCAGCGATTTGCTGATCGCTGAGTGAGTGAGTGAGTGAGTGAGTTTGTGAAAAATCGCTGATTGTGACTCTCATGAAGTGAAATAAACAGGTTTAATATGTCAAACACATTCTTTGGATTGGATCATGGCATCTAATTATTTCATAATTTAGAAAAACATTGTTTTAGCTGAAATGAGTCTTTGCAACCTTGAAGTATTTCTTCAAATCCACAAGCAAAAAAGTGCACGTTTGACTTGCTCATATACTGTTTGCGGCTGTGGAATAGTTCTGGTAACGATTCATCACTACATAAAGCCCCACGTTACCGAAAGCATTTCCAGTCGATGGTGTGTAATAATGCAATTCTTCTTTACACAACTATTGTGTTGCTCCTCTCGTCATGACCAACATTCACAAAACAAAAATTGCCAAAATATCAGCCTTATACATTCCATAAGATAAACCACGTAGGTCTTATAAGAATGCAAAAACGGTATGAGTGACCATTTATATATTTAATTTAACACATGATCTTCATAAGCTCTTCGCAAGGCGTCTGCTTATTAGTTGCCTTATACATTTTATGAATAATCAGCAATAGAAATTTTCCTAAGGGTATAAGGGGATTTCTATCCGTGTAGTCTTCTCAGAAAGAAAACAGTAGGTTGGTTGATGCGTGCTGTACCATCATCATGTTGACGATTACTCCCGCCTAGAGTTGTTACATTCAAAGTGTTTTTTATGTTACTTCATACGTGAAGTTTACGATTTTCAGAGTTTGTTGGAAATGCTATCTAATATAAAGCTTTAGTGTGATAATTTATTACCTAGAGAAAGGTCTGAATGGTAGGCAGAACTCTGAAAATCGTAAACTTCACGTATGAAGTAACATAAAAAACACTTTGAATCTAGTAAATACTGTCAAACACCCCACAATATGGGTATTTTTGGAATCGGATTGACGTGTAGGAACAACAGTCATTTCGAAATCCAAGATGGTGACTTGCGACTAGATAAAACTTGGGAATACTGTCAAATACCCCACAATATGGATATTCTTCGAGGCGCGATGACGTGCAGGGACCGAAAATCAATATCTGACGGCATTTTGAAATCCAAATGAATGAGATTTTGACGAAGGTTTTTTTGAGGATCAAGTCTGTCAGTGACTATGTGACGAACAATTTTTTCAATATCGCGTGAAAGTCTACCAATGACAATGACAAATCTCATGGCTGATGGTTGAATTACTATTTATTGATTTATATTTATTAAAACACTCGATTTTCAACTCTTTTTTCCTATTGGACGAATTTTAGCAAAGTTAGCGGGATATTAAAGATCTTTATTATGACTACAGATCAGCAAAATAATAAAAAGTTAGCACACTCACAAATTATTGACGTGTTTGGTATGCTTTTAACGAAATCTCACCATCTGAGCGGTCGGTCAAACTATGACTGGCAGGTTAATGCTTATTTTTCTCGAAAATAATTTCAAAACACTTTCAATCTTATTCAAATGAGCAAATCTTGTGATTGCAGTGGGGATTTAGCTTTTTTTTCTATAGCATTACAATATTAAACTGAACTTCCAAAATTTTACCAAACAGTTCAGTTGTTGAGATTTCGGTAAAAATTACAGAAGTCAGTGATAATTTCTAAGTGTGTAGTTCACTGTTTCTTTTTTTTTTTAGATCAAACTTCGTACTCACTCAACCGTTAACGACTAATTGTTTGATGAGCTATATTTTTCTAAAATTTAAGAACAACTATACGATCAATTTTGAGATACACTGTATAGAGCAGTTCCTGGCAAAATATCGAGAAAAAAAATGATTTTTTTAATAGATCCTCTCCGATTTGTATGAAACTTTGCGTAATTGTTTGTTAAGGTAATGATTCACATTGTTGTTAAAATTCGGTCATTTTTGATCATGTAAAATTTTCAAAATGGCATCTTTGAAATTTTAAATGGAAACGGCATTTCGGATCGAAATGACGTCTGACGTTAAGTTGTACAGAAAAATAGTGTTTCTCTGGGGAAAATAAACACACATGGGTAATTCCAGCTCAAGTTTATACAGAGTTGTGGTCAATGTCACCGATTTCAACCAAACTTTGCCCAGATGCTTATTTCGACATTCTAATACTCCGTTCACATTACAGCCTATATCACGTATTATAGGCTGTCTTGCAATGAGCGCTCATACACCGGATTTCCAGTGAAAACTAGATGTATGAGTGCTCATTGCAAGACAGCGTATATCACGTGATATACGCTGTAATGTGAACGGGGTATAAGAAAATACCATTTTGAATTTTGCACTAAAGTGCTAGGAACCCTATGTGCTACAACCCTGGGTTTTGAGATTTTTGAAAAATATATCTTTGAATCAGGTTACTCCGCTGCCAAACAAGTTATTTGTGACCTTGACCCACCAATTTAAAGGTGTTTAATGTAGAATTTAATAAATGTACACACATTTGATTCGTGTTATTGAAACTACAGTAAAGAAGCAGATTGTCGGCAGATACACAAATTATCTAAAAATGTCTATTTTTCATACCGCTCGGCTTTTATTGTTTTTCAAGATATTGACCAGAAGTTTTCTCCAGTTATTAGAAAAAACCATCTATATTAAGCAAAGAGTAAAATGCGTTAAAAGATCAAATAACTTTTTTTATAGTCGAAGGATACGATTTTCAATACATGAAAGAAATATCACAAATCTTAAAAATAGCAACATTGGCAAGATAATCATACCTCTTGACCCATAAATCCAAATTATTTCATTTTTGGCACACACTCATTTCTCTAAAAACTGCTGAAAATTTCTGGTCAATATCTTAAAACACAACAAACCCGTGCAGAATGAAAAATATCAATCTTTTTGATAATTTGGATAACTTCCGATAATTTGCTTCGCTACTGTAGTTTCAATATCACAAATCCAATATGTGTACATTTTTTAAATTTCAAATTAAAAACCCTTCCAATTGGTGGGTCAA